GCCCCAAAAAAAGAAAGGAGGAGGGAGATTTACCCTCCTGTACCTCTCACGTCTAGAAATTAAAGATATTAAGTACGACTAGTATTTGTCCCTGTTACTAGAGGAGTTCCTCTTAGCTAGACCAGTCCCGATAACAGCTTCACCAACAGTTGTATTGGGAGCCAACTGAACGAAAAGTTGAAGGCCAATACAGTACCGAGAGGCTTCCACGATAGTTCGCGCACAAGTATCGATTTTTAGTTTTGACATCTTACACACAAAAAGGCATACATCATATTCGAGACAATTTTTTGTCAGTTAATTTGCTTAATTATACAGCGTATTCATACCAGTCTTTTCGGATAATATGTCAGGGTTCCTGCGTGGGCATTCTTGCTGTTCCGCTTTATTAAAGCTAACTGATGATTGGCGCCAGGCTCTTGACAATAAAAAGGATGTGGCGGTGGTCGCTGTTGACCTATCCGAAGCGTTTGACTCGATTTGCCATAATTTCTTACTAGCAAAACTGAAAGCTTACGGCGTTCACGATTCGGCCATAAAACTGATTCAGTCATATCTATCGGGCCGCTTTCAACGAGTAAAATGTAACGGGAAGGTGTCAGACTGACTGCCTGTTCGCTGTGGAGTACCGCAAGGGAGCCTTCTAGGTCCGCTTTTTTTGATATCTTTGTGAATGATGTCAATTACTCAGCTGGATCTTCCTCCCTACGTCTGTATGCTGACGACACAACGCAATATATAGCCGTGAGAGCCCCTGCACACTTGAATCTACACTGAATCAAGATATAGAGAGATTAACCCTCTGGTTCACTGCGAATTACCTGCAAATAAACAGCCCCACGTGGCAATCATGCTGAAAAAAGTGTATGCTCCGCACTACGGAGGATTAAGCGCTTTGTTCCTTCGGACGTTATGATTTGCCTTTATAAAGCCTACGTGTTACCGCATTTAGAATACTGTTGCCCACTTCTTCTGGGCATACCTAAAGCCTTGAAAAATAACATCAAACGTACCAATCATTATGCGATCAAGACATTACTGAATCTAGGTAATTTGGCTACCTGTGACTTATGCGCAGCAATGGCTGATATGGACACGCTTGAACAAAGACGTACCCTGTAATCGCTTATTCAAATGCTTTGCGAAAAGTACAATTTACAATCCGAACGAACTTTTGAAATACCCTGTATTTACAAATAATATGCGTGCAATTTGAAATTTACAAATTGACTGTGACCCGTAGAATGCATGCATTTTGAGTTATTATGGAGCTCAAGCAAACGTCTGGAAGTTGTGCTTCGTGTGCAGTAGTTTTGCCCAAATTTTTGGGCAAGTCGTTTCTATAAGAGTAAAAACACCTAGCAATACAAATTTGGTACCGTCAAGGCATATTAGAAGGGAAGAGACCTTTATACTTCCAATGGACGTGCGTCAAAAAGCCATATTCAATAATTGTTTTATTATTCATGCAAAATGTTTGTTCTTAATAAGAAGCTTACCTCCTCGTAGATTATTTTTTTTAAAACTTTGGCCTATTTCTCGGCCCGGTTTTTAAGGATATAAAAAGATGTATTTTCTTGTAGATACTCCTCAAACAGTAGATAACATCCATTAAGCAAAATGTTTTGCGTATTCTTGTATATCTTCCGTTCAGTTTTAATCAGAAATTCAGCTATTTTAATTAACTGACTGAGAGTCGTCGGAAGTACAGAATGTTAGTCGGGAGTACAGCCAGTGTCTTCTGGCACACATTTTTATTGAACACATAAAGAACTAGCGAGTTATGTGTGATCAGAATCAAAGCATCGCGACGGTAGTAAAAACATTAATTTTAAAAGTTTAGTCTAGTTTATCTTTCCAGGAGATTCGTAATAATTAAAAGACGGAATCTACGACGGCCAATTCTAGAGAAGTTTTGCTTCTCCGGACAGATATTTCACAGAAAACAGTCCTTGGGTGCCGCTAAATAAGCGCCGCACCGTCCAAGTTAAAAGAGACCAAGCGCACAAGAAGCACGAAGATTTTTTTCTTGCTTTCGCGCGTCTCGAGCGCTTCTCCCGCTTTCTACAAGGAAACGGAAACGATTACTACCCAGGTTTATAAAGTATCAGGTATTGAGAGAGGTATCCATGATCGATCTTTCCTGTAAGTATCACCTTTTAATCTCATGACAGAGGAATATCGATGTTTTGACACTTCATCTCGTCTGTAAAAAAACATACAAATTGCTTGTACATTTGAGATGATTCATCAACGGTTAGATGTACAGTATCTTCTTTTTCAAGTCATGCATCTGTTATTATTTCCGCGTCTTGTTTGGGTCCGGGGTTATCACATATCCTCTTAAACATGGGTGTGGGATATCTTAAGGAAAAAATGGGTAAGCCTCATTGTTCCTCCAAGATCAGTCACTAAACAGACATATATCGTGACTGGTAAAGAGTACCAGGTGTGGGGGAAAGGACTGAAATAATACTCAGTAAATCAACACAACATAATTAAATCTGTGTCCCAACTGACAATACTTTCCCTAGTTGAGACTCTTTACTTAGCCTTACTTTTATAGTAAGGCTACATACATTTACATAATGGCACAGATCAGATACAGACTTCAGACGTACCAATACAAGATCAGGCTATAATCTACTCTTGTTTTATAATGCTGCATTCTCGACGGGATTACTATACAAGTCCAGTTGCACTCGATCGGTGGTATTTGATCAACCATCTTATTCCTTCGTTAAGAAACAGAAGTGAGTAAGTCTCGTTACGACTACAAGAACAGTCACTAAACAGACATATATGGTGACTGCCTAAGAGTACCAGGTGTGGGGGAAAATCCTGAAACAAAACAACAGGATCAGGGTGATGTTTTCGGATCATTATACGTTTCTGGGAAACTGCCCACCTACCCCTCCCCTAGGCTAATATTTTGCCCTGAGTGTGAGGGTAAGTGTTAATGTTGGCTTAGGGGAGGGGTAGGTGGGCAGTTTCCCAGAAACGTACAATCACAAATAGCACGTTAGAAAGCAGCAGCATTCTTCTTACGTCTTTGTTTCTGTTTTGTGCTGACCCTCCAAGTATTCGCAATGATGTGTCATCTCGTAGCCAGTACAATGAGAATACGTAAACCATGACACGGCATTCTCTCTTTCGATGAACACCTTTCAACCAGTTTTTAATTTTTCTCTTCGCCTCAGGTGTTTCCAGGGAGAGGGGATCAAGCCCAGAGAAGCGAAAAGGGAACTGGACAGCCCTTAGCCACATATTTTAGGCAATACTGTATTTGCCTTGCACGACATGTGGTGGCTAAACGATAAAAAAAAATTGTTTGTAATGAAAAATGTTGGATAAGAATGTTGAAAATTCTCTTCCAACACAATGTTGGGCGAAATTGTTTGATCGTTAAGCCGGGGCTTTAGAGTCACCTTCCCAGGCCTCCTAATGATAATTTTTAGAGGACTGAGATAATCGTTACGAGAAATAAGCATTAAAACGACTCGGCCGCCATTATAGCAATTTTGATGTTGTATCCTTCAATCGTTAACAGAATCGCGCAAGTTTTCTCGAGGATTTTTCCACGCTCGAAAACGACTTGCGCGCTGAATGTACCAGATATTAAGACTGAAGTTAATATGAAGGGCAAGAGTAAATCAAAATAAACGCTTGTATTGAGTAAATATCATGATTATATAGCTTCATGTGATTTAGCTCTACTTTCATGTAAAGAGTTGCAAGAAAGGTAAATTTATCAAAGTTTTAAGGCCATATTTTAAAACCGTGCCTGAACATACGTTTAGAATGAAGATAAGGTGTTTTCCTCAAAAATGCATGTTAATCTTATTAAGCAGGACAAAACTAGAACGGCAAGACAAAATATAAGCTAATATTCTGGTTTATTGTTTATTCGGCTCGTTGCTCTTCCAATCCCTATCACGATCGATCGCCGTGCAAATGCAAGTATTCTTGTTGAAACTTACACATTGAGCGTAGGAATCACTGCATGTTCCCTTGAAGATTTGTAGATGAGAATTGTAAAGTGTATATAGTGCCTGATAAACGCGAATTTTATTGAAGGCAGATTCTAATTGCCTATTTTTGTTTTCTAGTCAATTAAATTGCGTTACAGTTATTTGTGTCTTGACGATTTCGCAAATTTACATAACCAGTATTTTGAACTTACTTAAATCACTCACGGCCTTCAGTGATACTACATATTTTAGACATCTGGGATTAAACGGCAGGCGTGATTCTCGATTTTGGTTTTCGTAAGAAAATCAGACCTTTAGCAGAAGCATCATGTTTGACCGGCCAGGGGGCGTTTTTTTTTTGCATGGTTTACTTTAAAGCTAATTCTATTTCTATAACTGCTATAACCATTGATTGTGCTATTCGCCGTTATAATGATTAAAGGTGTTTTATAAACTAGTTGTAGCTTTCGCTAAGTGCCAACGAAAGAAAAAGAATTTGCCTACATCACCGGTGTTAGTTCGAATGTTTATAAAACCATTTTAGCTGCTGAGGCGAGAATTTCCACTACAAGCACTCTTCGTTTCTACATTTCTGTCATGCTCGCTCTTATTCTTCTGCTTAGACATTTTTGAACCTTAAACTTGTCGAGTTTCAAACAGCGAAAGGGAAATAACATTTATAGGTTAGCGCGAACTTGAACTAGCGAGTTGTAGTTCGTACAAGTACAGTAGTGTGGCAGAGAACAGTGTCCGAACTTTGAAGGTTCGTTTGTTTGCCTGCTGCAATACTTCGCGTGGCATTAAGCTGACCACCTCGCAAGCCGACCGTCTTCACTCGGCTTGCTCGTTGGCAATAACCGTCAGGGACATTTAGCTCGGTTTTTTGGCAACTGTCATGATCTGCTACAACTGACAGGTTTCATAGTCTTCGCAAGGGTGTATCCATGATTTTTTCTAGTACGTCAGGTTTTCCAAGTTGGCTGTTACTTGCATGTGTTACTGGGCTATTAGATACTCTGTTGAACTTGGTTATGGGATACCCTCTCTAAGAAATAAAAGTGGGTAAGCCTCATTGTTGCTCCAAGAACAGTAAAGAAACAGACGCAAATAGTGACTGGCAAGGAGTACCAGGTGTGAGAGAACTGACCTAACTACAACAGGATCATGGAAAAGTTTTTTTACCATAAACAGCGCATTAGAAAACACCATCATTTTGCTAAGCTCTCTTTTTCGGTTTTCTGCTAATGCAGCAAGTATTATCATTGACGTGTCATCTCGTAGCCAGTGGAAGTAGAAATGGCTATTCGATAGAATTCTTAACATGACATCCTGCTCGTCTCTGCAACAAAGCCAAAGGGCATCACATATAAATATCACGATAAAATGGTTGAACAAAACAGTCGCAACAAACCCATTGTAGCTTGCGGCGAACAAAACAATTGCAGAGAGTCGACTGCCCAAAACAAGCACATGCGTCGCAAAATGTAGAAGTTTATTTTTCAAATTCATCTCATCGTTTCTCGTATCGTCGTAATGATGAATCTCGTCAAACATTACTGCAGCACGAGCCAAACTAAGAAGAGACACAGGCAGGGAAATTATTTGAACGATCGTCACCGATTCCTGTTGAACAACCACGACGTACAGCTGAATTATAAACTGAGGAGCTGATTCAAAAAAGGCCTCAAACAGAAGAAAAAAATTACTGGTTTTCAGAAGAACAAGATGTTCCTTTTCCTCGTCAGTGGTTTCAGAACGAACAGGTTGGATTTGCTTGCTCCGCCAGAGTTTCTTTAGATAGGAAATTAGCGTTCCTATATTCAACAAGGCTGGAAAGAATGGATGACCAAAAAAAAGTATAGCTTCGATCCTTTTCGCGAGACTGGCACTGCGTACGTCAAGCCATTTAAGATATAAACAAAGTAAACATGGTAAAATTATGAAACAGAGCCCCAAAACGAACCCTGTCGCTTGACCTGCGTGGTAAAATTCCACCAGTGTAAGAATATCGGTGATGGGATCGGCAAAGCTTAAGATGGTTCCAAGAAGAGCAAAGAAAATATCGTACCATTTGAGTTCTTTCCTCGCCATTGCTTTTACCTTTCTGGATGACTAATGAATAGGCGCCCCCTGTCTGAGTATAGCTGTGTGTTGTGAACTGTTTGACCCTTAAACGCCTTGTGGTCAAACGCGTTATTGATAAAATCAGCTAATGAACCTGTTTTCCATGAATGCCGCGCTTTTGATATTCTCCTTGGAAGTAGTTCATTTAGTAACTTTTCAAAAGGATAAAACGATGGAAGTCAGAGCTAATTTCTGATTACATCTGAACTTGGAAGTGATGTAGCCCCGGCATAGTAGAATTCCAGAACAGGGTCTGGAAGGGTGGGGGGTGGAGGTAGGGGTCTGGATCACGAATCGCAAGTTAAATTTCCGTACATTCACGAATCACGCTACCTTTTGGAGTCATTTCACGAATCACGCGATTAGGTGACGAATCGATCGAGTTCATCAATGCAGCAATGATTCTTAGTGGTTGCTAAACCACTAAAGGCAAGAGTTGGTCTTACATCTGTTAAATGACCCCGTGATTGGTAGGAAACAGAAAGTATGGTGATCAAACTGGCGATCTTTTGCTTTGTTTTGTTGGACGGACACAAAGTTGACTGTCAATGAAGGTTATTGCGATAAAATCGAAGCTCTACGGGAGCAATACAATCAAGCCCCCCGTAGAGTGATAAACAGAAATTGAAGCTCTACTAGCAGTCTCTTATTTTTCTTTTGAGTCACGTCGCAGAAAATAAAGTTTTTATTTTATATTCATTGGTGGCTATCACAAAGCAACCATTCTCTTACTTCTTAAAATAGTCTCAAAGCATATTAATACGTCCTCACTTCCTAGTGGTCTCTAAGCTTTGGCGTCTAAACTTATAAATTTGAGCCGAAATGATTTCTAGTACAAAGATAAGAAAATGTTGAACAACTTCATTTCTTGTACAAGCATGTAAGCGGAGATTTATACTTCCGTAAATGTTATAAACTGTGCATAAAACACATTGGTAAAATAAGAAGTATTATTATTCATTCAAAATATTTCCCCGATTCTGATTGGCTAAAAGCACACTTATAATTCACCATAACCAGCATTCATTAATTGTTAATTTACCTTGAAGTATTCCGCTTCCGTCTACTAGACTTGGAAATTCATGACTAAAAGCGTCTTGTGTGGGGATGGAAGAGGCTACGACTCCTCCGCCCCCCACTTTCTTTATTCTAGTGCGAAGTTGACCTCTGGGTTTGTTCCCAGACCTTTACTTCCGCAGTCATTCTTTTCTCTCAAAATCCGTGTAGTTATTATCTCAGCCAGCGCGATTGCAAAGTACGACTTTATGTTACAATAAAGGATTGGGACCAGACAAGAAAAGACTTCCGCTCGAAAAGACTTACGCCCTCTTTTATCGCGGCTTGCGGCTTCACCGCTCGCCGCTGACGTGGTTGGGTTTTGCGTGCAGTAACTTTGCAAAGAAAAATAAGATACTGCTCGCAGTCTGAATGAGTCACAGAGGTCACACATGGTCAAGTATGGAACATAACAATGGACTCGGTTACGCTATATAACAATGACAAAAGACCTTCGAACCATCTTGACAGGCAATTTACATGTACTCGTGTAGGTCTATCCAATTTTCACGACATTTCATGATTACATCTGTTTTCTCGGTAGAAATCTCGATTCACGGACTAAAATGTTGGAGGATCACGCGTCACAGCGAATATATAATTCACGAATCACGACTGTATTTCATGAGTTTTCCCGATTCTAGCCTGTGTAGCATGGCGGTTTTGTCGGGAGCACGACTGAGCGGCGAAGAAACAAAACGCGTGTAAAGCGCGCATGAACGAGCGGCGAAGCTCCCGCCCCATTCTCCTCGCGGTTTCCCTTTATTACTTTGCGCGCCCCCAAAAACCGCCGTGCTACGCAGGCTATCCCGATTCACGCTCTGTTTACTGGTCAATTCACGGATCACGCAAAACCCAATCCAGATCCTGTCAGAAGTGTAATTTATTAGTGGTTGAGCTACATGGTCAGTCAAAGTTCGTTAAAACTTGTTGCTGCGAGCCTTCAGACAGGTTTGTCTGGTTCTGTGGGTGTCTTGTCGTTATTAAGGGGTTGGAACCTTAATTCAACTATGTCTGTCAGAACTGATTTTTACCAAGTATGTTTAGCGGTGTCTTATTGGGCTAATTACGTTTACACGTTTTGCACATTGGGGCGCGCGGAAACGGTAATTTTAAATTATTTTCGTATGTCTGTAAACTGGCCAATAAAGACCCAAATCACAAACAACTCATTCATATTTTATGACTCCCTTGTACTCTTTTATCCCATAACTATTAATTGACCGTACTAAGGGTCGGTTATTTAGAAAATACAGGAGCCGAAGTAATCTGCTCCTGGAAAATGTGTATGTCAGTTTTTCGTTTCATCAGATTATCGGTTTTTCTACTCATAGTTTATAAAGAAAACTGACGAATAAAATGTCTAGGAATAGAATATAATGCGACTAAGATCAGTTTATTTTTAATCTGTAATTATCTAGCCAGGGGTATTCTCGATCAAAGGACTCTTGAAACGGTACCAACGATAATGGCTTGCAATTTCTGTTTCCGCTGCCAAATCTGCCTATATGTCTATGAAAGAGTACCAGGTGTGGGAGAAATCTATAAAGTAAAATTAAACAATAGGGGCACGGTGATGGTTTTCTTGGTTATATTTGAGGGAAACGATTAACGTTACGAAACTATAGAAAATGTATATTCTTTTTAATATTCATTGTCTTTCAAGATTTTGCTTGAACACTATAGTTGACAAGTAATTCATGCAGGCAACCATATCAAAAAAAGAAATCTAACCGTTACGGCTTGTCCAGATTTATTGGAATCGGTATATTCAAACTGGTTC